ATGCACAGATTTGAAAACAGTGGTGACGGTTGCACAACATGGTGAAAGTTACTCAATGTCGCTGAATAAAACCCAAACCCACTGCCACTGAGTCGATTCCAACTCATAGTGACCCTGTGACCGAGCAGAACCATCCTATAGCGTTTCCAAGGCTGGCAATCTCCAGGGAAGCAGGCTGCCTCACCTTTCTCCCCTGGAGTGGCTGGTGGCTGGTGGGTTCCAGCAGCCAAATGCTAAACCACCGCCTCAGCAGAGCTCCTTGATCACCGAATAGTACGTGGCAAATAGTTGAAACAGCAAATGTTTTGTTATGTGTATTTCACTACAGTAAAAATTTAAAAAGTATTATACATCCAGTACAGAAAAAAGAAACCATTTGCTCAAATATCTTTGAAGAGCTTTTTAAAAAGGTTCTTGTGGCATACTGCCTAAGGCATTTGACTGCTAACCAGAAGGCTAGTGGTTCAAACCACCAGCCACTCCTCGGAAGGAAGTTTGGGCAATCTACTTCCATAGCGATACTGCCTCAGAAACCCAAGGAGGGCTGCTTCACTATGAGTTGGATCCAACTCGAAGGCATTGAGTTTGGAGTTTTTTGAGATCATTTTTAATCATCCCCCCACCAAACATTCTTCTAAACCTTAAACTGCCTAAAAGTAACCCAAATCTTAACTAAGTTCATTATAGAGTATATTGGTTTTAGATTGAATATACAACAGCCATACCTTTGTGTGGGAAGTGTATACTTTACAGTAACATAATTGTTGTTGTTGTTATGTGCCGTCGAGTCATACCTGACTCATAGCGACCCCTCCTTGGGTTTCCAAGGCAGTATCACTACGGAAGTAGGATTGCCCAACCTTCCTTCCGAGGAGTGGCTGGTGGGTTTGAACCGCCAGCCGTCTGGTTAGCAGGCAACTGTCTTAGCCACTATGCTACCAGTAACCTAATTAACATGTATCATATGGTTTTGCCCTTTTATAGGCCCTAGCACACAATTTTAGTATTTTTAATGATTCATGTTGGGACCAGTGTATCTTTGGTGAGACAGTATTGATCATAATTTACAGAATACCAAATGCTTATCACAAATGTAATTACTGAGTGTTTCCTACTGAAAAAACATGACCTGCTTTTATCATTTATTCTGCGGTGCAGTTTCCAGTAACACTTGCAGAAATCAGGAACCACTTACCTAGTAAAGGAAGAACTCCAGGTTAAATCCTTCAGAGTGCAAATAATCGCACCCAAAATTACTCTTCTGAGTTTACATTCTCAGATAAATTACAAAACACCTGGTACTGGTGGACTTTGTTCCTCGGTCCCGGCAGCACAGTGCAGAGCCCCTTCCACTTCACCGTTTGGACAATGAGCAGGCTATTCCTTGCAAAGGGAGCTTCAATCATGTTTACAGAAGGGAAGCCCAGATAACGATTCTTTCCCGTTTAGGATTCAATGAGTCCATAAACTGCCAAGACAGGTATATGCCCCAACGGGCTTATTGTTAGTTGCTGTGCAATCAGTTCCAACTCACGGCGACCCCATATGTTACAGAGTAGAACTGCTTCAGAGTTTTCAAGGCTGCGACCTTTGCAAGCAGACTGCCAGGTCTTTTCTTCTGTGGTACTGCTCAGTGGGTTCAAACTGCCAACCTTTAGGTTAGCAACTGAGCACAAACCATTGGCGCCACCTAGGGACCCTTCCCACTAGGCTAAAGGAAGCACAAGAGACAGCCAGCCTTGGGTGTTAATGAGGTCACATCAAATAAATATTGGTAACACCAAGCACTTAAAACCATTCCTAAGAAGTAGTTCATTTCAATGTGGCTCTTTAGCTTTGAGGTCACTGGGAATTTGTTTCCCAATGGATTCTAACCAGGAAGCTCTCCCTCCACCCCCATGAAGGGTACAAGTAAGCATTCATTATTCCCAAAGGTTCATGAAACCTTTAGCTGGTGGTTAGCGGGTTGTTTCAGACTGGGCCCAGTGCGGAGTGTAGATGTGCCTCTCTGATCTATGATTGCACAGACCGTATTTGGCTGATGGCCCCAGCTGCTGAGTTCAAACATCCAACTCTGCTGAAACCCATCACTGCATTTACATCCAGGCTACACTTCCTGGGTAGCTCCCAGCCAGTGACTGAGTGTGGCACAGGTACTAAGGCGGGCCATTCCTAACAGACGCAGGACTCCCCAGATAGGTAACTTTGGGTCAGGGATGCCATCAGGGAAGACCTGCAGCTCATGAAGGACGTCGAGCAGTAAGCCTGCCACTGTTTCTTAAGTTGAAAGCAGACCGATGGAATAGGTTAGAGTCAGACATTTATCACTGACAACACACCCAGCAGGAACATCACTATAGTTCTCCAGTTCCCATCCCCATGCCCCCAAGGCAATGTGACAGGCTCAGATGGATCAGCACAGCTGAGGAGCCCAGGGTCCAACACTTTGAGCATTGAGCAAACCAACCAGCCCCCTCCCGTAGGAAGCAAGCAGTTACATGATAGTCATACTGTGGCCACATTGCCCTACTTGGTTGTTTATGTGACTAGTTACATAAATGGTTCCCTATTGGGAGACAAACGAGCCTGGTAGTTTAAGACACTCCTCAAGAACATGCAGGTGTGTTCAGGGCCCCCGGTGGACTGTCTGTCCCACACAGACCCATAGAAAGGCACGACTGACTTTCCCTGCGTGCTTTGCCTTCCACGCTTCCCTCTCCTCCACAGATGTTAGATCTGCGTGAGTCTGTCGGCTCTCCCAGTCCCCTCTGGTTCCCCCCCCCCACTTTTCCTCATGGGTATTTTCAGTGTCGAATTACTCAATGAGGTAAGCACAGGTTTACTTGCGCTTACTTATCTGTAGTGAACAATTCACATTTTTTAACATTGAAGATTCTGCTTCCAGGCATGGCTGGCATTTCTCTTTCTCAATTCAACCACCCCTTCCTACAGAATCAAAGCCTCTTCACATTTACAATCCCTGACGAGGATGGAGTGCCCACTGAGCAAGGTAAACAGGACTTACTTGTGCTTACTAACTAATCTGGTAAACACTTTCACAGGATTTTCACATTAAAGATGTGGTAAAACCGATGTAAAATTGTTCTCTACAGATCAGTATGCACAAGTAATCCTGTGCTTACCTTGCTTAGTGGGTACCCCACCCCTGGATATTTTCCCTAATAAATTTAAGCCTTGAGTTGCAATATTGAGAGATTCTATGGGCAAAATATTGAACGATGCAGGAAACATCAAGAGAAGATGGCAGGAATACAGAGTCACTGT